TCATCTTCAAGTAAATCCACATATGTTTGTGTCATGTTCAAGTCTGTACTAATTACATACTAAATAACATAAAATGGGACGTTTTCTGCTCCTTGTCATGTTAGCCTTTCTTATCCATATAAAATTGTCTGTTTACTTCCTTCTGTGCAAACACAGAAAGATTTAATTATATGTATGTGCTAAAGAGACATCTTTTCTTTTCTTTTGATAAAGTCAAGGAAATAGCATGTAAAACATTCGTTGAAACATGCCATCTGTGTTCTCAAAAATTGAGAAATTATACAATGCAGATGTAGACTTGAAGAGCCTTTTACTAAGAAGGGCCAGGGAAGTCACCTGGCTGTGCTAAACAATTATACAGGGAAGTAAGGAGTGAGTGGTCACAGTCAGATTTAGGCTTTTAGTTTTCATTTTTAGAAATTTACTTATAAAATCTAAAGACCAAAGAGATGAAATGGCTTATTTTAAATATGATACTCATACTTTTCATCTCCAGTTTCAGCAAAATTTCAGACTACATATATTTTTTGTTTTTTTTTAAGAGAAAAAGTTTTTGTCTTGTTTTGTTTTGTTTTTGCGGTTGGTCACGTGCACTCACCAGAGACAGAAAGTGAGAAATCATCTCCCAGGTGGATGACCACAACACAATTCTTAATCCCATTCTCCTCTTGGGACCTTGGACACTCACACACACGTGCCCATGCACAGGGCATGAGTTTTAAGTCACTAGGTCTGGGACTCAAACTGCAGTCGACTGTGTGGGAATCCAGCAATGTAACCATTACTCCATCTTCTGGTCCCAGAGTACATATATTTTTAAAAGATACTCAAAATTAATGAGTCAGGTATTTAAGACTTAGAGTCAAGAGGTATAGAAATTGAAGAGAAATAGGTTTCTTAGTGAAATCTGCTTATAGTTAAGGAATACTTAAGAGAATTTTTCTCTTGTCTAGAAGGAATTGGATAATATGTAGGTGGTAATAGCAAGTCATAATTTTGGAGAAAATCCTGAAGGGAAAGTCTGCAAGAATCAAAAGGACGGTCTAGCAGATTTAACAGTACCTGCTGTAAGACTGGCCTGCGTTTTCATTTATTCCATCTCCATGTTTTTGTCACAGTGTATTGAATGATTCGCCGATGGCCAAGTGTCCAACTTTACAGCAGCAGTCTGAACAGTTAGTGCTTTGTTATATAAATTAACACCAAATTATTTTGGACCACCTCTGTTCTGTATTAAGTGAAATTTTCTATCAGAATTTTTAGAGGTCACTACGTTCTTACTCAGCCAACTTTTTATTATTTTGTAGAATTCACTACCAATCATCTACATGTTGTATTTTTGATTATAAGTATCATATAATAACCTTTGAGGCCCAGTGTCTCTTTTCCTTTTATTATATATTGGGTTGTTGGGAAAGTCATGACAGGTTTTTGCACAGAAAATACTTCATGACTTTTCTGACAGCCTAATCAGATCTTTCCGTGAAAGCAGTGACTTGATATAAGAAAACTTATTAAGCCCTGAAGCCTCTAGCCACGAAGATAGATGGTTTTCCTTTAATGCTGACAGTCACTAAGTGTTGGGTTGACCTGAGGGACCTAGCCTGATTACCAACCTGATTGGAATTCATTGCTTGCATACTGAGTGACTTGAATTGCAAAGAAACTTTTTTCCTCTTAAATTCATTGTAACCTGGCTATGTATCAATACTTATATTTAGTAAAACTAGGAAATGATTTACTTCTTTTTTTCTTGAGAAGGTTTTTTTTTTTTTTTTTTGAGAGATTTTCACTGTAGTGCGTGTGCGCTCGCCAGACAGACAGAGAGACAGACAGAAAGCGAGAAATCACCCCCCAGGGGGGGATGGTCACGCCGCAATCCCTTCTCCTCCATTCTCCTCTCGGGATCTTGGGCACGCACGCGTGAGTTTTAAGCCACCAGGTCCGGGACACAAACCGCGGTCGACTACGTGGGAGTCCGGCGACATAGCCATTACGCTAACTGGTGGTTCCCGAGAAGGTTTTTGCTATAGGGCACATGCACTTGCCAGAAAGGCAGAGACAGAGACAGAAAGCAAGAAATCACCCCTTAGGGGGGATGGCCATACCACAATCTCTTCTCCTCCATTCTCCTCTCGGGATCTTGGGCACACACGCACACGCACCCTGCGTGAATTTAAGCCACTGAGTCCAGGACTCAAACCATGATTGACTACATGGGAGTCCAGCGACAGAGCCATTATGCCAACTGCTGATCCCAACAAATGGTTTACTTTTAATTACATTTAGGGCAGCATGGAATATGAGAATTGAGTTCAGACCTGGGTTTGAATCCCTACTTTGCCTCTTTGCTAGTTACTTAGTCTGTTTCCTTCTCAGTCAGATGGCAAGTTTAGGATTATAATGCCCATCCTTAAGGTTTATGTAAATTAAACTAAGAAGTTTATTCACTCATTGACTATTTATTGAATACCTTCTCTGTGTCCGACTTTGTTCTAGGTGCCATGGATATCAGTGAGCATTACAAAATTCCTGTTATTTTATTAGAGAGAGATAAAACAAATGTAATCAAATAAAAAGTGTAATTTTGGGTAGTGAGTGATAAATTCTATGAAGAAAAATAAAGCCTTGAGCACACAGAAAATTCGTAAAAGTAAAGCAAGGATATGAACCCATGTCGACTGACTTCTAAACAAAAAACTGTTTCTGCTGTGCCCTATTGCTTTTTTAAAATAGTTTAAATAGAATACCCATTCATTGTTTTTAGCAAGCTGCTTTCATTGTAAATAGCTAGACATGTAAAAAGATAACTAATAGATACTCCTTAATCAAGAAGCTTCTTTTGAGCCATCTTTGCACATACACTGTCATAAAAACTTTAGTTTTATCAATTGATAATTTGAATTCTTGCGGCCAGCTGGTTGCATAGTGATTAAGGCACTAGACTCTCATGTGGTTGACTGAGGTTCAAGTCCCAGACCCGGCAGCTTGAAACTCAGGCTGGGTGCGTGTGCGTACATGCTCAAAATCCCAAGAGAAAGGATTGCAGTATGATCATCCCTTGGGGGTGGGGGTGGGGGATGATTTCTTGCTATCTATCTCTCTGTCGTTCTTCTGGTGAGTGCATGTGCCTGATAGCAAACATTTCTAATAATAGTAATAATAATAATAATTCTTTATATTTGACATGTAAATCATTTTCTGTCCAGTATCGCTATTTAGCAAGTATTACTATGTTATTCCACACTTGTGTAGTAATGCACTATGTAACAGTGTTTTGGTCTGGGACAGTGATCCCGTAGAACCTGTACCATCTAGGCTGGTGTGAGTACATGCTATGATGTTCACACAATGAAGAAATCACTTAACTTTGCGTTTCTCAGGATGCATCCCCGTCTTTAAGCCATGTGTGACCATATATGCCTTATTCTCTCAGCCATATTCTTCTTTCTTCCTTCTTTTTTTTTTTTTTTTTTTTTTTTTTTTTATTTTTCTTTCTTCAAGTTATGGGTGAAAACTGTCTCAGTCTAAATTTTATTTCCTCCATTATGGTATACAGGGCGTGTGGACAAAGCCCTTTATCAGCTATGTATGTGAAAATATAAGCACGGTGATCCAGAATAGGCAAAAGCAAAAGACTAGCTTCCCTCAAGAAGAAAAACTTCAGATCTATGAAAGGGAGGGACAACAGGGGCCAGAAGGTGGTGCCGTGGTTACGGTACTGGACTCTCACATGGCCAACCACAGTTTGAGTCCCAGACTGGTGGCTTGAAACTCACTCCAGGTACATGTGTACCCGCCATAGGGCACATGTATTCTCCAGAGAGGGAAAGTGAGAAATTATCCCCTGGGGGGATGGCCACTTAACAGTCTCTTCTCTTCTATGCCACCCTTGAGATTTGGGGCATGCACACACACGTGCCTGGCATGATTTTCAAGCCACCAGGTCTGGAGCTCGAACTGCAGCTGGCCATGTGGGAGTCCAGCTCCTTAACCACCATGCCATTTGCTGACCACAGTTATAATCTTCTTTAAAGGTCAGAACAGTGTCTCTACTTCAGTGGTTCTCAGACTTGAGTGTGCATCACAATCACCTCAGAAATTCTGATTCAATAGATCTGGGTCCACAGGTTTGCATTTCTAACACATTCTCAGGTGGTACTGGTGCTGCTGGTCTGGGGACCACACTTGGAGAACTACTGTCTACCTTTTTGTCCCCCACTGTCCTTACAGTATTTATCACTTAAATGTCCTCTATCTGTGAATCTTCCCTTGACTTCTATTTTATCAAAACTTGTTAGTCATTCTTAACTTGTAGTGTGTAATGAGATCACCTAGGAAACGTGTTGCCATAGCAGTTTTCTGGTCCGATTCCAAAGCATTCGTTATTGGCAAGCGCCTTCGATGTTAATGCAGGGATCCACAGAGAAGAATGGGGAAATACTGCCTTACAGAGCTGATGGTGCTCTCCTCATTACCATGACTGTATTTTGTATTCATTTTTATTTTTATGCTCTACTGGCATTTGTTTGTATGTCTTCTGCTAGTGTCCCTGAAAGGAAAGGAATATGTCTTATTCATTACTGTGTCTCAATGCTTAGCCATGGCACTTCTACCCGCTCTGTGACCTTGGGGATCTCTTTAATCTTCCTAAGCCTCAGTTTTCTCTTTTATGCAAGGGCGACAGTAATACTTCCTTGCTATGGGAATTAGCTGTAAGGTATGTATAGTGTTTGGTATAGTAATCGACATGCAGAAATTACCCAGTAGATGGAAACCATTACAATATTTGGTTGTCTTTGTGTTATGGAAGAAGCAAAATAAATGTATGAATTCATGAAAGCCCCTACATTATGATTTTAGCATCCAAATTGAGGATACATGCATAACATCTCACTACACGTTTGCTTAGCTGTGTCAATTAAATATCATTTTATATTTTGGCATTCTACTACAATATTGTGAAATAAAATTGTGCCTTGGGCTTTATCTCTCCACAGGAAAACAAAGAAACCGCTTGGAACCAATGGATACCATATTTGTCAAACAAGTTAAAGAAGGGGGGCCTGCTTTTGAAGCTGGATTATGCACAGGTACTGAGATGCCTTTTTTTTTTTTTTTTAAATACCTTTCATTTCTCACTTACTTCTTCCTCCTTTTGCCTTTCTGCAGGTCTGTAGTTTTTCCTTTTCTGTCCTTCTGTGTGCATCTCCCTTTTTCTACAAATCTGATATAGTACTAAAAAATTGTTTTAAAGGGGTTTATTCACTTCTCCTGAGAGAGGAGGAGATGAAAAGACAGGGACAGTCATCTTCGACAGTCTTTACGTTGCAGTCCACCCCCAACTTCAGTCAGCCTAGATCTAGGACACACACTCAGAAGTGAACGAAGGGCCTTTCCCAGTGTGGATCTAGTTGTGTTACTGCTGTGCTAATACCTGGCCACATTCTTACTGTTTTTGAGACCTAATTAGTTGTATGGTTCTTGATACCCAAATGGATAAGTTTGAATAGAAATAACAATGTAAGTTGACAAACTGTTGGTACTTTTAGTTAATGGATAGTGGACTTTGCAGTTGTTTTGTTAGGTTTTCGCCATACGGCCCATGTGCTGGCCCTGGGTGTGGGGGGGAGTGAGAAATCTCTCCTTTGGCGCGGGGTGGGGGAGGCCACGCTGCAGTCCCTTCTCCTCCATTCCCCTAGGATTTTGGGCACACATACACAAACACTGGTTGTGATTTTCAGGCTGCCAGGTCCAGGCCTCTAACCACGGTCGGCCATGTGGGAATCCAGTCACATAGGGCCTATACTGCATAGTTTAAAAAATATATATTTGCCTGTGGGCTCATACCTCACTGGAAAGAGAGAGAGAGGTAAAGTGAGAAAGTTGCCCCCATGGAGAGCAGTCGTGTTACAGTCCCTCTTCATTTTACCCTCCTTTTGGGATTTTGGACATGTAGATGTGCCCGGCTTGATTTTCAAGCCACAGGATTTGTACCATGCAGTCAGCCACGTGGCATCTGGCCTCCTTAAACTAACATGCCGCTGGCTGGCGCCATGCATTAATTTTGACAATGGATTACAAAATAGCAAAATGATAAAGGTGTTTTTGTTTGTTTGTTTGTTTGTTTGTTTTTTGCATAAATGAAAAAAATCTTTTGGATCTCCAAGTTCTGGAAGTGCCTGTTAGAGGTGTTAATTAATTTGCAGCACAAAGGAAGAATTAGCCTCCAGTGCCTCATCCAACTTCATCTCTATGTGTTCATGGGTGGGGCCATTTCCATGAAAGCTGGATAGCTGAGCGGTTTCTTCTAAAATATTTTGTGATATGTGATTTTACTAAAACTACATATAGATTTCATTTAGACTAATGTACACTGTAAAATTGTTACTCTTTTTCTTGTTTTTAAACATATCACAATTTAAATCACGAATTAGTAAAAAAAAAAAAATTTTATTCACTTGAGTAAAATACTTTCAGCCACAGATATTGTAAGTAGTATCATTACTAAATTATTAAGGTGGACTGTTAGTGTCTTATCTATCTTAATTGTCTTTTTTCATTATACTTAAAGTAAGCCTAATATCAGTATTGTTAATATGTATAGTACACATATTTTTTAAAGAATTATTTTATTTAATTTCATTTTTTATTATTATTTAATTTGACCAGAGAGAGGGGGGAGAGTGAGAAAGCAAGTCACCAGGTCCAGGATTTGAACTGCAGTCGGCCATGTCAGAGTCCGGCACCTTAATCACCACACCACCTGCTGTTTCTCATAGTATGCATATTAGTGTACATACGGTATCATACTCCATAGACCGTGCCATTTATCACATCCTAAGCTTCATAAGATTGGGAAGATGAAATGGAGATGCTGTGATAAGCACACAAAAAGTATATTTTGTTTTCTTTTCTTCTTTCTTTTTTCCTTTCTTTCTCTTCTCTGTTTTCTTTTCTACTCCTTTGAGTTTTTCTGAGTAATCCAATTAAAACGAAGGACAATGTGTATAAAGTCAAAAACCTGTGTACCCATATTTAAGTCTTATTACACAGACTAATCAATGAAGCAAATAGATTGGGAGAACTGTATAAGGAAATCAGCCAGACTAAAATTAGAGGATCCTAAAGAAATAAAAATAGTATTTTAAGCCTATTGATCACTGCTTTTTATGAAAATGACAGAGTATGTGGAGAAATAACTAGTAGTTCCACAATGGAGGAATTGATAGACAAAGATTTGTGATCACCTGGTGACTGTCCCTTTTGAGGCTTCTAAACGTATCACTGACTGTAACTCTTACTTAGAACATGCCTGTATTTCATAAGAAGCTGGATATATTAAAATTTAGATTTATTTCTATAAAAGATACTTTGGAAATAATAAGTATGTATTAACAATAAGGGGGCTAGCCATGTGTCAAGGTGGCTGGATCACACATGGCTGACTACTCAGTTCAAGTCCTAGACCCAGCAGCTTGAGAGAAACACCAAGTGTGTGTGTGTGTGTGTGTGTGTGTGTGTACATGTGTGTGCCCAAAACCCTGAGAGGAAAATGGGGGAGAAGAGATTGCAACATGGCCATCCCACCAGGGGATAATTTCTCTTTCTCTATCTCTCGTTCTCGCTCTCTCTCCAGTGAGTGCACATGCCCCATTACAAAACATACACACACACCTGCACACACATGCATACTCACACACACACACTATGAGAGAAAGGGTAAGAAATTTAGATTATAGTGTGAACCGCTGCTTTAGACATGGCTAGAGAAGCTTAATAATAATCAAATAACTTGAAAAATATTTCAAAAGTGACTTTCTTTAGAATTCCTCATGTATTTTTTCCTCCTTTTCAAAGGTGACCGAATTATAAAAGTCAATGGAGAAAGTGTTATTGGAAAGACCTATTCTCAAGTAATTGCTTTAATTCAGAACAGGTAAGATGTGCAAAACATGATTCATTTTAGCCAGGGATGGGTTTCATAAGTCAATACAGCAATTTAATACAACTTTGTATTTCTGTGAGGAACTGGGGAGGCATGGAGTCGTGGAATTTTCCCTTACAGTGGATAATACATTTAAGTTGCCAAGAACTCACTACTCAAAGACTGCTTAGTTAGTGACTTTGCTTTGGCAAAGGTATTAGATTTGTGTTTAAATTCCTTTCATGTCTGACAGGCACATAGTTTAGACTTAATAATTTTTTTTTACCCTTTTATTTGAAGTGACAAACATATAATTTGTTTATAATAAATATATAAATAAATGCTTTCACAGTTTAAAACCTCTTACTTAGATACATTACTTTTAAGTATCTTATTGGCTAATCTTGGCTTAAGTACATTCATTCGTTTTCACTAAGACATCAAGACATTTCCTTTGAATCCATTTGTCTGCCTGTGTTCTACTGAATGATAGAATTTGAGGTCTAAAGATAAATACGTACTTATAGGCTCTATGAGATATATGTAGCTTAGTCCTACTTTCTTATTTCCATGCATACCTAGAAAAATGTTTTAAATTACCAATAAAGAAGTAGAAAGCCAAATAATTGCCCTATTACATGACTGCCAGCACAAGACCATGAATCTGAGTCCAGGTTCCAGCTCCTCACTCTGTTGTAAGAGGTTCTTCCCAGATTCAAATACAGCACCTTTAGATTTCTAATGGTTTCTAGCAGCTACAGTCACCTGTCTATAATTCAGCTGAGTCTCTTTATTTTCTGAAGATTTTTATTAAGCTTCTCTAGCCATGTCTAAAGCAACAGTTCACACTATAATCAAAATTACTTACCCTAAAGCCCTAACACATTGTCATTTTTTGTAGCTAAATGGCATGATCAATGATCATAATGAATTTATCTTAGTGTATTTTCTTTAATATTTTAATATTTAATGAGATTCTTAAAGAAAACAACTTTTGCTCTTTTTTTTTTTTTTGTCTATGGAGTACACATGCTAACCAGAGAGAGAAAGGGAAAGTGAGAAAGCACCCCACTAAAGAGGGCTGGCTATGTCACAGTTCTCCTCTGTTCTCCTCTGAGGATGTCGGGCACACACACATACACCTGGAGTGTTTTTTAAGCCATGGTTTTTCAGCCTTGGGCAGCCATGTAGGATACATCTACCTTAACTACCATGCCATCAGTTGGCCCCAGAAAACAACTATTAAATTTTATGTCTGATGTTGGTGATGAATTTAAAGCCTCTTTAAGAGTCAGTGGAGAGCTACCCAAATTTTCTTTACTGGAAAATAATTGAGAGTATCACAAATATGTCATTATGTTTTATTGGCCTATAAACCTAAAGTTTTTAGTTCATTTGTTAATGTTTCTTCTTTAAAAAAAATATTTACCTATTTAACTACAATGTAATCTTTATTTTCCTCCAAATCCGCGTAATTCTTCTATTACTGGTGTAGTTCATATTTCAGAGGAATAGCACTTTGGAGTGATGGTCTTTATTTTCCAACAAATAAAAGCAGTTTGAAAATTAGAGAGATAATTGTTTCTCATGACCTTATTTTCTCTTAAAACATTATGTTCCTTTTGTCTGCAGTTGATAGCAAATGGGTAATGCAACGCAAAGCCATTGAGGTTCTGCAGTATATTAATGTAAAATGTACCCTTGCAGAAGAATTTATCTAAAAGTCAGTATGTATCTTCTACCAACTCTAAATATTGAAATACAAGTACCTACATATTTTACTAGTTACATTTATTTGAACCTGTGGTTCTCATTGGTTTATCATTTCTCAACATTTATGAACCTAAACATAATGGTTCAAATCTATTAAAAAGAGACACCAGTAATTATTAGATTTTGGGGTTTTATTTGACTGTTTTTGATTGTTCCTTACTCTGTATTGGGTGGAAAAATCTACTTGATATTGTTAGATTAGTTCTCAAAACATTCCATGGGATAGTACCACTGTTCTTTGCCATATTCAGGATTCAGTTTAATTTGCTTCTTTGAACTTTTTTAAACCTAGAGAAATTTCTCTGTCATATTTTCTTTTTTCTGTTTTTTCCAATGACCAAAAGAGAGAGAAATTTTCAACAGGGTCCTGCCATGCCATGGTCCTGCCCCAGCCTTCCAGGCAGCTGGACTACCAGGTGTGCACCACCAGACCCAGTCAGTGTATTTGGGCTGGTCCGGGCTCTGAGCCTGTGCCTTCCATGTGGCTCCAGGATTGCACAGTGATGCTTCAGTGGTGACCTGTGCCACTTCCGCTGGGC